TGGTGCCTCGGTGGACTTTAAAAACACATCCGTTCCGTTACACCACTACAGACATAAGAGACACACATAGTCACAAAGGTTGCTATATCGGTAATCTAATCTTGAACGTTTGGCTTGACGTCCACGTTGAACAAGTATATTCTGCGAATACGGACACTTCATAAGTGCACAGCTGTGGCGAATGTTTGTAGGAAGTCTAACTACGAACTAATTGCATAAACGTATAATAGACAGATTTTCCCTGAAATCATGTTTATCGAATCGAATCCGGCCCTAGGGCATGACAAGCGAATGTGTTAACCAATACGGCTACCCCACCACCCGTACCTTTATGAGTGGCGCAATGATTGTGCATTTCAAAATAGCATTTGATGACTTAATACATAATATGTAAGTTCCTACAGTTGCATTTAGGGGTGGTTGTTACTGCAAATTGTTACGTTATAGCAGTCATACAGTTTGTATGAATATGTAGCCAATTGAGGATCTTGGGAGACATATAGAAGTTGGCATTCAAGACTAAGACAAAATATTACGGATGTCAGGATACAGAATAGACACAGTAATATTAGCTTAAATTGTTTGCATGAAGGGAATATAAAACACATAAGATACAACGAGTTTGATGCGTGATAATTTTATTTCAACAAAGATAAGATATTATTGACAAAGCAAATTACTGACTGTTTCAAATGACAGGGACGCGCGTTCATGATCAGTCATCAGATGCCGTTTAGCGACAAATCATCTTGTTCATCATTCCAGGCATACAGCGGAGTGAACCACAGCATTTCATGGCGTCGATGCCATTAATTTTGCATTCTTCATTTCGGAGACGACACTGTGGAATACAAAAATACATCATGAGCATACATCAACTAATCGTGTCAAGTTTAAAATTTAGTAATTGTTTTGGTGGGAAGAAGGGTGTTATAAAATAGCATAAGCTTAAGAATAACGTGTAAACAAATTAAAAATGAAATTAAATATTACTCACAAATTAATTGTATCTTAATGATTCCAAATTCCTGATTTGATATTTTCCTTGTAAATTCTGTACAATTATTATTTGAGAAACTCCAAGAAGACAATATCTGGTTCATACTGGTTGGGTGAAATACAAACTTCAAATTCTTCTGATTAACTTAGAAGCAAAATACCCTCAGGTTCTAGTTATTCACTCACCCCATTACCACTGCCGACGTTTCTCTTGCAGATTCGGGTGTTTCCTATACCAGACTCACACATCAGGCCATTACAGCAGGTTTCACCATTCATCACATTGCACATTTGCCCTCAGTCTTGCACTGGAAAACAAAATAACTTGTGCTCTGAACCACGTGTAATACTACTAAGTACTTAGAAGCTGATTGAATTTATGTATGTCAGTTTCTGTGCTATGTGCACATTTCGGAATATGTTCTTACGCATTCATTAGGTGAATGAAAGCTAGGTAGCAAATAGCTCTATAATTTCATGTGAAAATAACAAAAGTGATAAGATAACAAAGTTGGACAGTTGGGAAACCAGTAATTGATTGGCATTGATAACAGCAATGGACACTGGTAGCCAGAACTAAATTCAGAATCACTTCTAAATGGCATTCCAATGTTTTAGCATGTACTTGGTTTTGCGTACGCTTATATGGAAATATTTCATCCGCAGCAGAAGTAGAATGAATGCAATAATACATGTTTGGACTTGTCCAAAGTGCCGTTGTTCAAAGCAATCTTAGCACTATCACAATCTTAGGCGATCGTAACTCTCATTCCTTAGATGTACGGCAGTTGTAGCGCCAAGGCTGTTTTCTACAACCGTACCCGAAACATTAGCAACAGGTATGAAATCATGTAGAACTTACAAAGCCATGCGAATCTTGAATCAGGGCTGATGCTACGAGGATTAGAGCAACACACACTTTGGACATCATTGTGGTAGAGTGAAACTGAAAAGAAATTCATTTAAGTCACGGCTGTGTTCCAATATAAGGTATCCAAGCATTTCAAATAAACAACAAATACACATGGCTTCGTATTAATGAGCTTAAATTACAATCATAGAAAACCCCAGAACAAATGTGTATCTGCATGAATGTTCTGTTTCAATCATATAGGTAATATCAATTATTGTGTTTGATATATAAAAGGAAAATAAAATCAATATTACTTCAAGTCATGGGAAATGTATGGCGATTCTTCAGTTCATGAAATAATATATCTTGAGAATTGGAAACACTTTTGTTAACGACTTGTATTAGCATGAAATATACATAGAGTTACCTTTTCTGCTGATCACCGGAGTGAAGATGCCTCTTTGACGGAGCTGGTGTATTTATACCACTAGGATTCGACAATTAAGAACACTGAGATAAGGATGATACATTAGGAGAACAGATGCTACAAATGTAATCTTAGATCTATTACTAGTCTGTCAGTCACAACCTTCGATAAAATTTCTGACCCCACCGTACATAGGTAAATCAGCTTCATCAAGAACGGATATCTTTACATATGTTATTATGATCATTCACTCACGTCATGCCCGAAACGTGGAGGCAGCAAAGTACAATTAAATATAAACTGACGTACAAAAGAAAGTACACACCTGATGCTTTGGTAAAATGTTTTTCTAAAAACAGCGTAATATTTAGAAAAGTGTTTTGATTGTGACTCACAATTCACAAACATTGTGTACGTGTTGCAATAACACCATATATATCGTACCCAATTGAAACATTGCTAGCAAAATATTTACTTTTTAAATAGTCTCAAAACAGCAGGTGTGTACTTTCTTTGTACATCAGTATATGTCGGAGCGAATAAATAATAGCGATTTTTTAAAAGACATCACAAGAGGAACCTGTTGAAAATATTACAGATTTAACAAGCGTTCTGGAGGACTTAAATACTGCGGGGTGTACGGCTCAGTTGATATGTTTCTTGTAAATGATTAATCCATGGATCAACATGAAGAGAATTCAGCTGCAGGTTCTTGAGAGAATTTCTTTGTTCAGTATAATAATATAGAGAGTTTAACAGGCGGATTTAAAATAGAGGAAAGATGAGGAGGATACAATAAGCATCGTTCGTTTGGTGGGAAAAATGATATATGTAGTGCTGTAATATATTGGGCAGATGTAAATCCGACACCTTTTGAATTCGAAGCTCAAAGACGAACATGTTTGTGTTATACAAAACAATGAGATAACAGTTTTAAGCAAGGAAAACTTACATCTTCCAATTTTGTTATTGATCTTACGAAAAGTTTAAAACCTAAAACAAGTTAAAAACACAATGGAGAGGATGTGTGTTGCAATTCCCAGCAACCATGACAGATTGCTAGTTATGTATAGAAATCGGGTACTTTTGTTGACTTTGAAGTCCTCGGAAGAGAATAATTATGGGAAACACCTGACTTACGTATTCCTCACTCTCACTACCGCACATATGTTTTGACCAGTTACCGATTTTACCAAGGAGCGAAACACACAGACAATAGTTTGCGATTCTTCTTCCACATTTCAAGTTCATAGAAGCGTCAGTAACACATGTCATGTGAATCACGATAACCTATCAAGATCTACAGCTGATCAGAGGAAGGTCACACGTTGCCGTCAGATCATTAACACATCTTAACGGATGTCTGACATGAAAAGCACGTTCATCAGTTCACATGCAGCTCAGGATATGGATATAAATACGTGTACTTGCAAGGCACTCGACATTCTCAAACTGATCCTTCAGCTGAACAGGTATGTATAATGTACACACGAGTGAGTTAAACGCGACTTCCTTTGAACGAATTGTACCTTTATCATACGGTCAACTGAATGTTTGAGGAAGGTTCAGTTACCACTTCAAAGGCAAGAGTATGGTGCTGACAAACCAAGTCATAATCTGTGATTTAAAATTACGATGATACGATTCTGCACGACAAAGACACGCAACTCTGCACTAGCTGGAGCATCTTTAAACTTGGGCCAATAATACACCATTCAATTCTATAAATGTATACCATTACTTTGTCTCTTATCTGACTCAGCACGGTGTATTTTTGGTATCGTTTAACATAAATGATGTAATCACTGAATGAGCCTCTGTCGTCAGACTGCGCTACGGTTTTACACGATTGGATATTCTTCGGAAGTATGAAGATTTAAGATGTACTGCACTCTCTTTTGTTTCAGGACAATGATGCTCAAAGTGTCTCTTGCTTTGGTCTTCGTGGTATCACATTTGGCAAACAATGCCTTTGGTTTTGGGGTAAGTGTTGTCATATCTTCTGGCGGATAAGGATAATATGCATCCACGAGGATATGGAGATTCCAAATCTGAAATCGGCAAATTGCCTGTAATTGGAGCAATGGATTAGAGGGCAAAATGAACCACAAATTATACCATATTCAGCCCTATATTCCATGATTAAAGGCTATGATAGTCTGAATTTTCTGTTCCAAATATCTAACGGCATATTTGCTTTGTTCAAATTCTGATATCGTGAAAAAAATGTGTTGGATGTGCTTAAGGTATAATTCTCCTCACACGAATTGGAACGTCAATTTATATGCTATGTGCCCAATAAATCCTTCATAGAATACCTCTTTAGTCATTTGAACGAGAAAATTACTTGCATTGCATAGTGCAGAATGTACATGTAGTTACGATACTTCTATTAATTGTACTAATGTATTTGGACATGAACTTGTTCACGCAGTGTCAGAACGACGGCAAACATGCAGTTGGATGAATGGTAACACATGCAATGGCTTGACCTGTCAGAAAGGAATTGGTAACATCCAAACATGCAGGCGAAACTTTGGAGGAGGCATTGGAGGCGGAATTGGGGGTGGTATGGAGGTAAGTTAACTTATCAGACAATTGTCACGTTACAAGACGTTAATTTGGGAACTATACTCCTGAACTTCTCTACTAATTTGTGTCGTCATTTGTAAACGTCATGTTCCGTCACGGATTTTAAATGTTCACACCTGTCGACAGAAGAATATTTGTGGAAAGCTCATAAGATGTAATTTTTCTTCACGTGAATTTTTAAAGTCAATTCTCATGCTTTGAGCCCATTAAATCGTCCACAGCATACCTCTTAAGCTAGTCATGTGAACGTGAATATTGCATACAGGGACAATGTAGTAATGAAATTTCTATTAAAGGCATCAGTTCTGTGCATTTAAATCTATTTTTACAAACATACGTTTTTCACAATTAACTTATCATCATCGTTCCACGTGTAATGAGTATGTTTGATCCAAAAGTTGATGTTATTTGTGTAGACGATACGATATGTGGATCTGTAAAGATATTCATTTTCGTTTTACAGTGTCGTCGCCGTAACGAAGAATGCAGGATTAATAGCATTTCTGCCATGTCATGTTGTGCATCTCTCCTCTGTTTGCCTGGATACATGAACAAAATGACTTGTCAGTAGATATAAACTGACACGTTTACCTCAATATTACGATATGTGTACATGGAATGCATGACAATAAAAGTGAATTCAAGCAATCTAGATGTTTGTATTGCCCTAATGTATAGTTGTAGTGCAAAGTATAGGAAGGAAGTTTAATGGACAATGTATTTGACCTGAAGGGCATTAGGGCTATCTTCCAAATTATAAGATGAAACGCCGTTAGGGTAGACCCGTGAAGATCCAGGTTAGAATTGATCTTCAGTAACCCATGCTTGTCTTAAGAGGCCACTACCGGGATCGGATGGGCAGGCTCGCTAACTAATGACTAAGTATCACAATTGCGAGCATTGGTACAATCAGCAATATTCCAGCTATATAGCGGCGGTCTGTAAATAATCGAGTCTGAACCAGACAATCCAGTGATCAACAGCATGAGCATCGCTCTGCGCAATTGGGAGCCGATGACATGTGTCAACCCAGTCAGCGAGCCTGACCACCCGATCCTGTTATTATAGTTAAAGACTATATCTTCAGCTGTTAGGTATTCCTAAGAAACCAAAACTACTTTCGTAAAGTCAGATTGTGGCACAATAAGATACGTGTTATTCAAACTATTATGATTCCGTTTCGTATTTTGTTCTTGTCCGTAAATCACATTTTTCGAGATGGAAGATAAAACCACACAAAGCCCCAAATTCAATTTAAATGGTACCCCAAATAAAGTTGTAAAGGATCTAAATTCCTAGGTATAATAACTGATCAGCATCTGACCTTTCTTCCCCAAATATTGTAATGAATAAAAGCCTGAAGGCACTAAACTTATTGAAACTTGTTTCTAATAATGATTCGAAATGAGGAGGCGACCAGTTAACTCTGCTTCATTTGTATGGAGCACTAGTCTGTTCGAAGCAAAATCGATTTTATTTGCTCTTAAATATAATCAATAAACAGTCTAGCTAAATATGAGCAGTACATAATGTTTCCAGATTCTCTATCTTGCCTGCAGGTCATATATACATGTCAAATAAACACCCTCAATATGACATCGTCTTCTGTTGGTTACCCAGCCACAATGGAAGTTTGGGTAACACAATGGCTAATTCTGCTGCTAAGGCAGCACTCAACAAATCTGTGACACCACTGCTGATACCTTACAGTGACTATAAACCTGTTGAACCATGTTAAACAAAATTACACTCGCACATCAATATATTTCTAAGCTTCAACAAAATCCATCTAACCCAGCCTTCAAATGTATTTCAATCCTTTCTGTATGGATTTGTATAGCAACAAATCAAAGTCAGTTCCACCCCAGAGATGTTCATTTAAATCTTGGTGACATCTCAGAATTCAACATTCCAGAAATACCACCTTGTAGGTACATCCAGCCTAATGTACATTTAGAAATGACAAGGGACTGGTTGGTCTGTTATTTATTGCGGTGTTCCAGCTGCCTTGTAGCGTTCTGTAAATAGATGTCTGGACCAGACAATCCGGTGATTAACATCATGAACATCGATCAACGTAATTGGGATGCGATGACATGTGTCAACCAAGTCAGCGAGCCTGACCACCTGTTCCCGTTAGTCGCCTATTACGACAAGCATGGGTTGCTTGAGTTAAAATGATCAAATAAGCGCCATTCCTTTAAACCAACCAAAGGACAGCATCAATTCACTGGGCTCATTCGTCAAGATGAGGTTGTGATACCGTGATGTCGTATAGGACGTAGTTACTATACAGATTCCTTTTTATTGAAAGGAGAAGATCCCCCACAATGCATTGCTTGACATGAACCCGTTACTTTCAAGCACGTTTTGCACGTTTTGCTACATATTACAAAAAGTCCGGGTTTTTTATGATGCTCCTACTTTATATAACTCTGATACTTTAACTGAAACTTATTGAAAAATACAATTGCTTCTAATCATTTGTTTTTTGGCGTACCTAAAGGCAACGTAACTGTATAAACTGAAAATGAAAATGAAAAATACATATTTGTAAGTTAGTTTTTACCCTTGAGATTTTCAAAATCACCTTCATTTGCTCCAAAGTGTTGATGTTTTACATATTACAAAAAGGTTTTTGATGATGCTCCTACTTTAACTTTTTAGAACGGCGTCTAACCACTTGATTTTCGCGTACCTAAAGGCAACGAAACTGTATAAACTGAAAATGAAACTGAAAAATACATATTTGTACGTTAGTTTTTACCCTTGTGATTTTCAAAATCACCTTCATTCTGTTCAGTTATTGTAAAACAAAAGACATACCTCGCCGCGACAAGATGCAAAATATTTGTTAATGCGGCGTTGGGGAATATTCCCTTACTCACTTACTCAGGTCAGGTTAGATGAAATGGACTTTAACTCTTTGCGTCAATGAGTGAGCGAGGCGTCTGTGCGTGTGCGTGTGCGTGTGCGTGTTGGCTTGTATTGGTACTGACAAATGCGTGTTCTTTGTGTTGTCCTACTAATCACCAGATACTATGGTTCAATCTTTAATACCCAAATACCCAACGCAGACATGGCATTCTGACTGTAAGTTTTATCTCTTGTTTTACTCTTATCTTTTAAGATAGTTTGGTATCACACGACTAGGAGACAACAGCTACTGTGATACGTACAGTATTTACTGTTATTATTAACTCCAACATCTCGAAATAAATTACATATACGGTTCAGAACAAAACACAAAACTGAATCAAAATAGTTTGATTAACGCGCATCTTATTGTGTCACGATCTGACATGACGAAAGTGAAAGTGATTTGGTGTCTTAGCAATAACTACAACAATTGGAGACAACTGTAGCTATAAGCAAAACATTGCATGGGAGAACGTACCCTCAAATGTAGTTTATAATACATATCTTGACCATATTTACAACGGAAAGCCTGTACTGAAAGTCAAGTTGTTCGTTTAAATGTTCAGTATTTAAGGAAGCTGAATATGATTTAACACATACTGCATAAGGGCGATTCATCTACTAATTTGGTAATAACACACAAATACCGTTCAGGTGAAAGGTATTGTCCACCAAATATGGTTCCTTTTCTATTAACTACTACTCTAGATTTAAGAAATACAGTTCGCTCTACCACCATGTACAGTTAAAGTACGAGGACGATTGCGTGCGAGTGCTTTAACGTTATAAACAGGATTCCTTTCCATTTAACTACAACTGTACAATTAGGCAACACAAAGACATCTAGATTGCTTGAAATTACTTTTATTGATAGGATTGATGTTCACATATAGTAATACTGAGGTAAAAGTGTCAGTGTATATCTATTGACAAGTCATTCTGTTCATGTATCCAGGCAGACAGCGGAGAGATGCACAGCATGACATGGCGGGCATGCCATTGACCCTGCATTCGTCATTACGGCGACGACACTGTAAAACAAATATGAATATCTTTACACATCCACATGTCGTATTGTCTATACAAATACTACAATCAATTTGGATGAAACTCGTGTGGAACAACGATGAGAAGTTGGTTGTGAAACTAGTTATGTTTTGTCAAAATGGATTTTAATGCATACAATTGATGCCTTTAATAGAAGTATTGCAACTACACGTACATTATGCCTCGATGCTATGCAAGTAATGTCAAATGAGGAGCTTGAGAGGCATGCCATAAAGGATTTAATGGGCGCATAACATGTAAGAGGAATTATACCTTAAGAACATCCAACAATTTTGTTTTAACATGACACTTGTGAACATTTATAATCCTTGGATGATGGTGGCTTAGATACAGGTAAATTGAAAAAGTTCAGGAGCACATTTCTCAATTGAATGCCTTACAGTGTGGCAACTGTCAGTCGTATAAGTTAACTTACCCCCATACCACCTCCAATTCCGCCTCCAATGCCTCCTCCAACGTTTCGCCTGCATATTTGGATGTTACCAATTCTACCCTGACACGTCAAACCATTGCAGCAAGTGTTACCATTCATCCAACTGCAGGTTTGCCCCTCGTTCTGACACTGCATGAACAAGGTGCAGTAGGTTGTGGTTTTATGTCATTTAATATCAGTATACAATACACGTCTTTAAACTACATATAAATAAGCAACGGCATTACACTAAAACATTTAACCAGAGCTAGGATAACAGCATCAATTTCCCATATATTTATCACGAAATGTACAAAGAATAGTATGAGGCCAAAGCTAAGGTAGTAAAATGGGTTTCATTTCTGTACAGTGACGTTATTTAATAATCATGTGGATACTGAACTATGGTAAAAAGGTTATAGCTGAGGTGAAAAAAACATACATTACAATTTTGAGTCATGACAGCAGAAGGTGCACAACATATATCAGAAGTGGAACGAAAGCAAATTTACCGTTGGATATTTGGATCGGAAACTTCAGACTATCATAACCTTCAATGGAATATAGGGATGGATATGGTAAAGATTGTAGATCCTTTTGCCCTCTAAAACATTACACAAATTAGAAAGTATTTGCTAATTCAAACATGAAATTTGGAATCTTCATATCCTCATGGATGTAGATTATGATAGCACTTACCCCAAAGCCAATGGCATTGTTTGCCAAAAGTGATAGCACTAAGAACAAAGCAAGAGATACTTTGAGCATCATTGTCATGTCTGGTTACTCCTGAAATGAAACAGAATACAATACATTATAAATCTCCATACTTAAAAAGAAAACGTATTAGTGTAAAACCGTTGTGTCGTCTGACGACCGAGGCTAATACAGAAATTAGATGATGACTGTTAAACGATACCACAGTGCTGGCACAGATAAGACTAATGCTATAAAATGGAATGGTGTATAAATGACCAATTTTTCAAATGCTTCAGCAAATTGTGCAGATTTTCGTGTCTTTGTCATTCAAAACCAGTTTATTGAATCTTCAAATCAGACGTCATGGCTTGGCTTGTCAGCATCATACTTTTGCCCTTTAATTTCATCAAAGTGGTGGCCGTATCTTCCCTAAATATTTATGACAGTATATTATAATACATAAAGCCGTTCGAAGCGCTGTCACGTTTAACTGACTCGTGTGTTCATACATACCTGTTCAGAGGAAGAGTCAAATTGAGAATGCAGAGTGCCTTCCAAATACATATATTTATACCCATTTACTAACCTGCATATGAACTGATAAGCAGAACATATGTGGCAATGCACGCCAGAGATCCGTTGGATCATTTGTTGATCTGACGGCAACGGGAGATTACTCTGATAAGCTGAAGATCTTGATAACATATCTCGTTCACATGACATGAGCTGATGCTTGACTGAACGTGAAGGGTGGAAGAAGAATCGCGAACAATTGCCTGTGTGATGCGCTCTTCGTTAGGATCTGACTTTGCAACACATACATACGATAGTGAGGAATAAATATTATACAAGTTCCCCCATATTCTCGTCTAAATACTTCAAAGTCAACAAAAGTACCCGTTTTCCGCAAAAACACTAGTGATCTGTCATGGATGCTTGGAATAGCAACACGCATCCTCTCCATTATGTTCTTAAGATCAATAAAAATGGTTTTCAAAGGACCGTAAGTTCTCCTTACATAAAACTGTTATCTCAACATATGTATAACGCTGTGATCACTAGGCAAAACTGTTCGTTCTGAGTGAGTGAGTCAAGATTTAGAGTCACCTAGGCAATATTGCAGCCATATCCTGGCTATAATAATATATACTTTAATAATAAATACAGTTTTCCAAACATCTGTAAACAAAGGACAGTAAAACAACTAGGTTATCACAGATAGAAATTTAAAACTAGCATATAAGCAGTCAAACATTTATTACAATACAGGATAATACAATATAAAAACCGGGCTATAGGTCACCAACAACTGAAGGTTGATCACCACACTAATGACTGTTCGTTCGGAAGATACAAATTCAAAAGGTGTCTGGCTTACTTCTTCTACAATTTTAAACTCACTCTCTTTCTCTATTCTTATCTTGGACTAAAGAATTCTTTTCGACCTTCTGTAATTCATGCGGATTCGTGGACGTAATTCGTTTATGAGTTTACTATCCACGGCATAATACACCCTTCAGTTTTTAACTGCACCTTAAACTTTGTTAAATCAGTTATATTTTCAACAGATTCTTTTTTTGTGATGTCTTTTCATAATCGTTATTATTGATTCGCACCGCGCTACACGTAATTGTCCTCAGCTGTATGACGTGAGTGGATAATCATAATGACATATGCAAAGGTATCATTTCATGATGAAGCTGATTTACCTATGTAAGATGGAGTCAGATTATCGGGGGTTGTGACTGACAAAATGGTAACAGATGTAAGATTACTTTTCCAACACCTGATACATACATATTTTCTAATGTTTCATCCTTATCTCAGTTCGCTTAATTGTCGAGTTCCAGTGATATAAATACACCAACCAAGTCGAAAAGGTATCTTCATTCCAGACGATTAGCCGAACAGGTAACTCTATGTAACTATATTTCATGCGAATACAAGTCGTTAACAGGACTGTTTCCAATTCTCAACAAACATAGATATATTATTTTATGGGTTAAGGCATCGATATGTATTGAGGTAATGTGTTTTTGTTCCTTTGAACGCCATAATCAATATTAACAAAATGAATTAAACGAAGAAACGTATTGCATGTACATGTATATTGTTTTCTTTTCTATGATTGTATTATAAGTACATTGATATCAAGTCATGTAAATTTGTTGTTTATGTGAAATGTTTGGTTTACTTTGATTGAAACACAGGTGTGACTAAAATGAATTTCTTTTCAGTTTTACTCTATCAAAATGATGTTCAGAGTGTGTGTTGCCCTAGTCCTTGTAGCGTCAGCCCTTATTCAAGAGTCGCATGGCTTTGTAAGTTCTGTCATTTCATACTGTCCGCTAATGCTTAGGGTGCCGTTGTACAAAACCTCGACGCTACGTATATCGTATATCTAGTTATTTGTGTGGGAGTTACGGTAGCCTTAGTGCTAAGATCGCTTTGTATTGTACAAAGGACCCAGGACCAGGAGTGTGTGAGTGAGTTAAAATGTTAAGTCACATAGACAATATTTTAGCCACATCGTGACGACAAAGATTTATGTACTGCGAATAAATATATTTATACTCTTTTAAAAAGCTCTCAGCCAAGGACATAACAACAACTAGATTGAGTAGAAAAGGCTAAATCATTTCAAAATAACACAATATGAAAGGCTCCCAGGACCGTGATCACTCTTAATATGTATTACTTCATTCATTCTTCTTCTGCTGTGGACATGTGCTTGGATGAAATATTTTTATATACTCATACCAAATGCAAACTAAAATATTTGAATGGTATTTTGAAGTGATTCTTAATTGGATTCTGGTTACCAGTGGCTCATTGATATTATCACCAGCGCCAATCAATTACTGGCTTCTAAAGTGACCACTTTTTTTCTTTTCATTTGTACATATATAGCTACATGTGTCTGCTACCTAGCTTTTATTCACCTGAAGAAGACCCGTGAAGGTCCGGGTTAGAATTTTGATCTTCAGTAACCCCTGCTTGTCGTAAGAGGCGACTAACGGGATCGGGTGGTTAGGCTCGCTGACTTGGTTGACACATGTAATCGGTTTCCAATTGCGCAGATCGATGCCCATGCTGCTGATCACTGGATTGTCTGATCTAGACTCGATTATTTACAGATCGCCCGCCATATAGCTGGAATATTGCTGATCGCGGCGTAAAACTCAACTCACTTACTCACTCGCCTGATGAAGGTGTAAGAATATATTCCGAAACACAGAAGTTGGCATCCATAAATTCTCTTAGCTTCTAAGTACTTATTGATATTACACGTGGTTCAGAGCACAAGCTATTTTGTTTTCCAGTGCAAGACTGAGGGGCAAATGTGTAATGTGATGAATGGTGAAACCTGCTGTAATGGTCTGATGTGTGAGTCTGGTATAGGAAACCGAATCTGTAAGAGAAACGTCGGCAGTGGTAATGGGGTAAGTGAATAACTAGAAACTGTGGTTAATTTTCTAAGTTAATAAGGAGAATCTGAAGTTTATATTTCACACAACCAGTATGAACAAGATATTGTCTTTTTGGTGTTGCAAAGTTTGTCGAATTTCCTAAATCTTGACTGTATTAACAAAGTACCAGATCAAAATTGTACTCCAGGCTATAACTTGTATTACAATTGTACAATTGTATTGGACATAGAAAAGTAAGCAAATTGCAATATACAAAAAAAATATTGCATTTGGGTACAAAGGTTAACAGAAACTGGTATGTCTAAGATGCAATTTATGTGTGAGGAATATTGAGAATTAACACATTTTCGTTACTATGTTTCATGTCATTTTTACTTCGGTTCATTCCTTATTTTTAACAGTATGCTATTATATCATCCCCTCACCACCACCAAAACAAAGCGTGACGTTATACACCTTTCTTATATGGTACTGGTTTTGTTTCACAGTGTCGTCTCCGGAATGAAGAATGCAAAATTAATGGCATCGACGCCATGAAATGTTGTGGCTCACTTCGCTGTATGCCTGGAATGATGAACAAGATGGTGTGTCAGTAGATGGGATCTGATGACTAACTATGGACCCACGTCCCTGCCTTTTGCAAAATTTCAGTAATTTGCCCTGTCAGTGACATCTTATCTTTGTTCGAATAAAATTACAAAGTATCAAGCTGAATGTATCTTATGTTTTTCATCTTTTCTGATTTGTCTTGAACAAATGTCCATTAAAGTTCATTGCATCCTGTGTACACACTGGGTAATGATTTAGATACGCTGTTAGGGAACGTGTTAGTCACAATTCATGGTTACATAGTCATACAAACAGCGTGAATGTTATAACTCAAATAATTGCATTAAACACCGCCCCCAACTAATAGTAATAAACTTCCATCATGAAATACAATATCCTTTCACTACTAAATTAGAGAGTGGGTGAGTGAGTATGGTTTTATGCTGCTTTTATCCAGCAATATCACGGCGGGGGACACCAGAAATGGGCTTCACAACTTGTGGGGAATCGAACCCGGGTCTTCGGCGTGACAAGCGGACGCTTTAACCACTAGTCTATCCAAACTAAAGGTATCAGGGTTAGTGGGAAAGCCTACTCGTTAAAGCCTTCGCTCGTCACGTCTCGCCACGTCCAAATTCGATTCTCTATGCAATGCCTGAAGCTCATTATCATTTCAGGCGTAACCGCCGTGGTTTTGCTGAGATATTGTCCCACCATACGCATTCACTCATACAACAACCTCGTTATGTCACTGGATCAGCTAAACATTATTTCAAGGAACGACAGCTGTCATCTGTGTATGGGCTTTTGTGCCTAAAATCGAAACGGTCACCAGATAGCGAAGCATGTAAGCGATGATGCCTTCACGAACAAAACTAATAATTCAAAGTAGCTTCGATAAGGAATCCAGAGAATCACTGTAGACTGTAAGACATACATGCATTCTATATATCAATGAAAATCGTCCTGTTTTTGGTAGAACAGTATACTCAGAAATCACAATCCACTGAAGGACTAGTGTTGGGGCTGGAGTGAGGGGCGGTGGGGTAGCCTAATGGTTAAATCGTTGGCTCGTCACGCCGAAGACCCGGGTTCGAATCCCCACATGGGCACAATGTGTGAAGCCCATTTCTTGTGTCCCCCGCCGCGATGTTGCTGGAATATTGCTAAAAGCGGCGTAAAACCAAACTCAGTCAGTCAGTCAGTCGGGCTGGAGTGTATTCGTACAGTTCGTACGCAAAAAATATAGGTACCAGTGACCGTAATGTAATCGGGAACACCTGGCAGTGTACTATTTGTTTCGAAAAAGAAAAAGAAAACACATATCGACATCTTTCCACCTGTCCAAAACATTTATGCTAAAGTAGTTCGAGTTCGAGTTCTCGTAGCGTAAACATTTTGTAATTTATTGTTGCAAAAAGGGAATCATAAATATAGTGCAGCCATTGCATCATTTTGCCTACGATCATATAAAATGTACAAACGAAACAAAATCGGTTTCAGCAAAATCGCGTTAAGAAATGTTTATTCTTATATTGAGCTATCTATATCCATGTCATATCTTTAAGTAACTTAGAGCAATTTACCCACAACATCGGGAGATCGTTCCTTAAATATCCTAATATATTATTATCATTATTTATCGGGATTGAACACAATGTGAAATGTGTTGTTTTGGGTTTTTTTAAATTGCAGCTACACGCAGTATACTATCAAGCTGTATACTGAGTGAGTGAGTGAGTCAAGATTTATAGTCAAATCGGCAATATTTCAATCATATCGTGACTTAGAAAGTTATAAATTGATATTAAATGGAATTAAATTACAAATGCATGTCGACGAATAACTAGATTATTAAAGATAGAAACGTAAAACCAGTCATTAAATTTAAAACATTTTAACTATAGAGGACAACACAATATCAGACCAGGCTGTAGGTCGCCAACAACTGATAGTTGATCACCACACTGGGTACCATAGGTACGTATAGTGCCTTTGCTACCTGCATGGACCTTAGTTGGATTTACACCAGCTGTATACTGAGGGAAGGCAGCCGCCATATGCCTTCAGTATTAATGACCGCGGCGCTAAACACCATTACATTACATTTTTGTACAACAGCAGCTTGTAACATTGTATTGGGAGAAAGAGAAAGATGGAGTAGATTCTAATGCTGATAACCTTAACATTAGTGTCTAATGATATTCAAGTATTGTCAGGGGCGGTGGGGTAGCCTAGTGGTTAAAGCGTTGGCTCGTCACGCCATAGACCCGGGTTCGAATCCCCACATGGGTACAATGTGTGAAGCCCATTTCTGGTGTCCCCCGCCGTGATGTTGCTGGAATATTGCTAAAAGCGGCGTAAAACCAAACTCAGTCAGTCAGTCAGTCAAGTATTGTCATTGTCTAGAATCAGATCATATCGGTGGCTGTGATTGACGGGGATCAGGTAAGACATGTCCTACATGGCATGCTAACTAACCATCATCCTTGATTGGGTAATGGATTCATATACCGCTTCCCGACAACGAGATATCCTCCATCCAGTATATGTTTGTGCAATGTACGAAACACCTATGCTTGTCAGAGGCATATTTAATACATTCAAATGAAAAGTAGCAACTGCAACAATTGTTCAAGTGAGATGATTTTAAACATAAGTCAATGAGAGCGCAATGCGTTTGTGCGTGTGTGCGTTTGCTTGTAATGGACCCGTTTCTTTGTGCTGACCTAATCACTAGATACTATGGTTCAAGTTTGAAATATGATTACGAGTCAAGTTGTTCGTCTCCATATTCAGTGTTTGTGGAAAGTGAATTTGATATAACACATGCTATGTATAGACGGTTCATCTAATAACTGAGTAGGAAACCCTTCAAACCGTTGAGGTTAAAGACATTGTCTAAACATGATTCCTTTTCATTTAACTACAATCGTACAATAGGCAATACAAATAACTCTAGATTGCTTGAAATCACTTTTATTGATACGATTCATGTACACATATAGTAATATTGAGGTAAAAGTGTCAGTGTATATCTATTGACAAGTCATTCTGTTCATGTATCCAGGCAGACAGCGGAGAGATGCACAACATGACATGGCAGAAATGCCACTAATCCGGCATTCGTCATTACGGCGACGACACTGTAAAACACAAATGAATATCCTTACACATCCACATGTCGTATTGTCTATACACATAACATAATATCTTTGGATTAGACTCACATAAAACAGCGATGAGAAGTTGGTTGTGAAATTAGTATGTTTGTCAAAATACATTAGTACATTTAATAGAAGTATCGTAACTACATGTAAATTCTGCACTATGCAATGCAAGTAATGTTCCCGTTCAAATGACTAAAGAGGTGTTCTATGAAGGATTTATTGGGCACATAGCATATAAATTGACGTTCAAATTCATGTGAGGAGAATTATACCTAAAGAACATCCAACACTTTTTTTCACGTGACACGTGTGAACATTTAATATCCTTGTTGGAAGATGGCGTTTGCGTAGATACAGATAAATTGAGAAAGTCCAGGAGCACGGTATTCAATATAATGCTTTATAGTGTGGCATTTGTCAAGTCTGATAAGTTAACTTACCCCCATACCACCGCCAATTCCGCCTCCAATACCGCCTCCAAAGTTTCGCCTGCATATTTGGATGTTACCAATTTCTTTCTGACACGTCAAGCCATTGCAGCAAGTGTTACCATTCATCCAACTGCATGTTTGTCCCTCGTTCTGACACTGCATCAACAAGGAGCAATAGGCTGGGTTAATTTATATACATATCAATAGCCAACACTGCAACATTTACATGGAGCTAGGATAACTTTCCCTTTTACTTATCACGAAATGTACAATGAAGCAAAACTAAGGTAGTAAAATGGGTTATATTTCTGTACTGTGACGTTATTTAATAATCATATGGGTAATGGTAAAAAGGTTATAGTTGAGGTGATAATAAATGTACGTAATAATTTTGGGTCATGACAGCATAAGGTGCACAACATATATCAGAAGTGGAACAAAAGCAAAATTACCGTTGAATATTTAGATCGGAAACCTCTGCCTATCATAGCCTTTAATGGAATAGGGCTAATTATGGTGATGTTTGGGGTTCTTTTTGACATCTAAAACATTACTCATATTAAAAGTAATTTGCTGATTCCAAATCAGACTTTGAAAGTCTCCATATCCTCATGGATGCCGATTATCCTTATCCGAAAGAAGATTATGTGATATGACAGCCCTAACCCCAAAGCCAATGGCATTGTTTGCCAAAAGTGATATCACAAAGAACAAAGCAAGACACACTTTGAGCATCATTGTTATGCCTGGGCACTCCTGAAACGAAACAGAATGCATACAAATTAAACATGCATGCTTTCGAACAATATTCAATAGTGTGAATATGCAGTGTAGTCTGACGACCGAGGCTAATGAAGTGATTATCATATTTCTGTTAAACACTACCACAAAACATTTCTGAGACAGATAAGAACAATGCTATAAAATGGAATGGTGAACACGTGGCCTATTTTGCAGCTGTGCGTGTCTTTGTCATTCAGAATCTGATTATCGTATGTTCAAATCAGACATCGTGACTTGGTTTGTCAGTACCAATGTCTTACCCTTGAATTTCATCAAAGTGCTGGTCGAAGCTTCCCTAAACATTCAGATGGCATTATGATATAATATGTAAAGCCGTTCAAAGCGCTGTCGTGTGTTCATCATACATACCTGTTCAGCTGAAGGATCAAATTGAGAATGTAGAGTGCCTTCCAAGTACATATATTTATACCCATTTACTAACCCGCATATGAACTGCTGAACAGAACATATGTTGCAATGCACGTCAGAGATCCGTTGGATCCGACGAAAACGGGTGATTACTCTGATTAGCTGTAGATCTTGATAATATATCTCGTTCACATGACATCTGTTGATGCTTGACTGAACGTGAAGGGTGGAAGAAGAATTGCAAACAATTGCCTGTTTGCCGTGCTCTTTGGTAGAATCTGATCTTGCAACACATACATAACGGTACTGAGGAATAAATAAGATACATGTTTGCCCATATTGTCGTCTTAAGACTTCAAAGTCAACAAAAGTACCTGTTTTCCAAACAGATGTAGTGATCTGTCATGGATGCTTGGAATTGCAGCACACATCCTCTTCATTGTGTTTTAACTTGGCTAAGGCTATTAAGCTTTTCGTAAGATCAAGTAAACAGGCTTCGTAAGGACCGTACATTCTCCTTACATAAAAGGTTATCGCAACATATAATTATGTATAACGTTGTGATCACAAGGCAAAAATGTTCCCCCTAGAGCTTCAAGTTCAAAAGGTGTACGGTTTATGTCTTAATAATTTATATTACAACACTTAATGTTTGTCAGAGAGATTTTTCCCACCGCACATAAAATCACTTTCATGACATCCGCCTTTTAAACTCACTCTCTCTATTAGACTAAAGAATTTTTTTCGACCTTCTGTAATTCATGCTGACTCATGGACGAAATTATCTATAAATTAAATGTCAACAGATTAGTACATCCTTCAGTCTTTAACTGCACCATAAACATAGTTAAATCTGTAATATTTTCAGCAGGTTCTTTTTAAAATCGTTATTATGTACATGTATTCTTTTTTTCTGATGTCTTTTCATAATCGTTATTATTGATTCGCTCCGCCCTACACGTAATTGTCCTCACCTGTTGCCACGTTAAGAGCATGACGTGAGTAAATAATCATAATGACACATGTAAAGATATCGTTTCGTGTTGAAGCAGATTTACCTGTGAACGATGGATCGATTGCATCGAAGGTGGTGACTGACAGACTGGTAACAGATCCAAGATTACATTTGTAACACCTGTTCTTTTAAAGTAGCATCCTTATCACACTTTGCTTAATTGCTGTTACAGTGGTATAAATACACGTACCAAATCAAAGAGGTATCTTCATTCCAGGTGATTAGCAGAGCAGGTAACTCTATGTATATTTTATACGAATGAAAGTCCTTAACAGAACTATTTCCAAATCTCAATTGCAACAAACATAGATATATTATTTTACGGGTCCAGGCATCGTTATACATTGAACTGATGTGTTTTCGTTCCTCTACATTGAAAATCATAATCAATTTTAACAGCATGAATCAAACGGAGAACATGTATGCAGATACATGTTTATATTCTTAGATTGTAAGTACATTAATATAAAGTCATGCAGCTTAGATTGACTTAAATGAACTTCTTTTCAGTTTTACTCCATCACAATGATGTCCAAAGCGTGTGTTGCTCTAATCCTCATAGCATCAGCCCTGATTCAAGATTCGCACGGTTTTGTAAGTTTTAAATAATTTATACTTGTTGCTAATGTTCAGGGTGCGGTTGTACGACACAACCTTAGCACTACGACTGCCGTACGTCTATCTCAAGGAGTGGGAGTTACGGTCGCCTTAGTGATAAGATCGATTTGCACAATGACACCCAAGCCCAGTCTTAACATATATTACTGCATTCATTGTGGACATGTGCATTGATGGAATATTTTCATATATGCGTCCTTTAAACCCAATATATACTAAAATATTTGAATTGCATTTGGAAGTGATCCTGAATTAACTTCTTGCTGACAGTGGTCCAATGCTATTATCATCAGCGCCAATCAACTACTGGTTTCCCTCTGTCCAACTTTGTTATCTCGTGCATTACATGCTACAATGCTTTCATTCCCCTGGTGAAATGTTATGTACGCGTTCTTCATAATAAAGGAGTTGACATCCCCACACTGTTTCAGTATTTATTGATATTACGAATTGTTTAGAACAAAGGGTATTTTGTTTTCCAGTGCAAGACTGAGGGGCAACTGTGCAATTTGATGAATGGTGAAACCTGCTGTAATGGTCTGATGTGTGAGCGTGGTATAGGGAACACCAGAATCTGCAAGAGAAACGTCGGTAGTGGTAATGGGGTAAGTTAATATTGACGAACTAAACTTCACATTTTAATCCAATACGTATGAACCAGATATTGTCTTTTAGAAGCTGTAAAGTTTGTTGCATTTCTAAAACTTTACTGTATATTCAATGTAACAAATTTAAATCGTACTCCAGACGATAACTTGTATTATAGCTGTTGAAATATCACAATAACTATAAAGTTGTTGGCTTGGAAAAGTGAGCAAATTTGAATTTACAAAGAAAAGGAATGTATGGATAGAA